TTGTTTGGATGCCCATTTCTGTTTAGGGTTGACACCTTTCTGTTTGAATTGACACCTTCCTGTTTCGATTGCCACATTTCTGTTTAGGGTTGACACCTTTCTGTTTGGATTGACACCTTTCTGTTTGGATTGGCACCTTTCTATTTGAATTGACACCTTTCTGTTTGGATTGTCACCATTCTGTTCAGGCTGTCACCTCTCTGTTTTGATTGTCACCTTTCTGTTTGGATTGACACCTTTCTGTTTGGATTGACACCTTTCTGTTTGGATTGACACCTTTCTATTTGGATTGACACCTTTCTGTTTGGATTGTCACCATTCTGTTCAGGCTGTCACCTCTCTGTTTTGATTGTCACCTTTCTGTTTGGATTGACACCTTTCTGTTTGGATTGTCACCTTTCTGTTTGAACTACAAACGTTATGGTTCAAGTGCTTCCTATATGTTGGGATTGCCATCTTTCTGTTTGGATTGACACCTTTCTGTTTCGATTGCCACATTTCTGTTTAGGGTTGACACCTTTCTGTTTGGATTGACACCTTTCTGTTTGGATTGACACCTTTCTGTTTGGATTGACACCTTTCTATTTGGATTGTCACCTTTCTGTTTGGATTGTCACCATTCTGTTCAGGCTGTCACCTCTCTGTTTTGATTGTCACCTTTCTGTTTGGATTGACACCTTTCTGTTTGGATTGTCACCTTTCTGTTTGGATTGTCACCATTCTGTTCAGGCTGTCACCTCTCTGTTTTGATTGTCACCTTTCTGTTTGGATTGTCACCTTTCTGTTTGAACTACAAACGTTATGGTTCAAGTGCTTCCTATATGTTGGGATTGCCATCTTTCTGTTTGGACCATTATGACCATAACAAGGGCGACAATTGAGAAAGAATGAGGAGACTGAATAAATACCCAATGAATGAGTATTTACATCATATTAGAATAGAATTACATTTATTCTATGCGCAATAAATGAATTTTTCCAGGACAGTTGTTTTGGCATACACGTTTTTATTTTTAACTGTCAAGTGTCGAGAATCTTTTTTTTGTAAACAGTATTTTATTTATAAATATATTCAAAATATATACATTATGAAAAGGATTAGAGAACAGGCTGGGCCTATATTACCCCTCTCCAAATCTTTAACTGTAGTACATGTATATGGGGCCTAGATAGACTGTCTGAAGACCAGACGTTTTCTCTCATGTCAGTTTTTTTCAAATTTTATTTTCTATCCAGATTCCACATAGCTAATATTGTTTATTTATATTACACCACATGCGTGATAATGTTCATTGTGTGTTTGTCAATCGGACATCCCTTTCAGAGAGACCACATAGGTAATAATGATCATTTGGTAGATAGGTTTGTCAATTATGCATCCCTTTCAGAGAGTATAGATCAAAGAGTATAGATCATATTAGATAATTCTCACATGATGATGACAATGTAAATTGTAGAAACGTTAAGTTCAGTAAGGCTCACGAGTAAAATACCAAATAAACTGATGATTAAAATGTAAATTGTTGGAACGTTGATTACAATAAAACCCAGGAATAGTACACCATATAAACTGATGATAACAATGTAAATTGTTGAACCTTCGAGTACAATAAAACCCAGGAATAGTATATCATATAAACTGATGATGACAATGTAAATTGATGAAACGTCGTGTACAATAAAACCCAGGAATAGTATACCAAATAATCCTAGATAACAATGCAAATTGTTGAAACAGCGTGTACAAAAAAAAACCGAGAGTAGTATATCATATAAACTGATGAAGACAATGTAAATTTTTGAAACGGAGTGTACAATAAAACTCAGGAATAGTATACCAAATAAACTGATGAAGACAATGTAAATTTTTGAAACGGAGTGTGCAATAAAGCACAAACATAATATTCCACTGGAATAGTATACCATATAAACTGATGATGACAATGTAAATTGTTGAAAAGTCGTGTACAATAAAAACCCAGGAACAGTATACCATATAAACTGATGATTACAAAGTAAATTGTTGAAAAGTCGTGTACAATAAAACTCAGGAGTAGTATACCATATAAACTGATGATGACAATGTAAATTGTTGAAACGTCGTATACAATAAAACTCAGGAGTAGTTAACCATATAAACTGATGATGACAATGTAAATTGTTGAAAC